CACAATAACATCTTTGATATTTTAAATTGTATAAATTAAAAAAAAAATGCCGTAAAAATTTACCGTCATTGCTGTCAGGGTTGTCGAGCTTGAGCGTTGGTTTGTTCGCGTCAGCCCAGTAGGCCCAGGTGATCTTGAAAAGGCCGCAGATATTGCCCGAACATCCTAAGGACGTGTTGCAGTTCGAGATCGCCTCGCAGATACAACCCAAGCACAGTTCATTGACAGGCTTGACGTTCAAAAAGCCTTGCTGACCTGAACATAATAAAAAATATGTAAAATATTTCTATCTAGGGGTAAAAATATTAAGATCCCAACAAAGAAGATCCCGTTTTTTGGTGGCCACTGTTTCTAAATTTTCCACAAACATTTGTTGTTTTATTCCCCATATATAAAAAACGCAGAATTCAGAGATAGTATAATTGGTTTATAATGCCTTGTCCAAGACCGGCAGAAGTTGGTCAATATTTTATCCGAGCTTATTTTGTCGTTGTAAACCAGTTTTGGGGTCAAAGACTGTTTATCTCTGCCCACTCGAGGGACATGGGCTTGAATTAGCATAAGCAAAAAAGAAGTCCTTATCTAAAGATATTTCCAAGTTTTAAAAGTAGCAGAACTTTTACCAGAATGCTGGTAAACTGGTTTCTTCCTATTATACGAAAATTAAATTGTTGAGATAATTTCGCAACTAATTTGCATACAAAAAAATTTCGGTTAACATAATTTTAGAATGCTACTGAACAACGCCATGCATTTTCATGAGTTGCCTTTAAAACAACTGTTTTACTGATATATTCAGAAATAATATTATAATAACATTTTGGCTGAGTTTGTTAAATATCAATTGACCAAGAATATTAAATTTAGAACAGTGTTTTGCCTAGTTTGTGTGCATTTTTTCAATGTATTATCGCAACAATTAAAATACTCTTTATTATTTTGAATAAAGACTTTATTATTATTCATTTTTATATTTTATTTAATGGATAATTTGTATTGTACCATTTGTTAGCATTATTTTTGAAGTTGCACGTTTTTTTGCAAATATACTCTATAAGTTTTTTTTTGTTTGATGTTTCGGTTTCTTTTGTGCCATACTCATTAAACTTTATATATTCACAATAGTTGAAGTACAAAAACTAAACCAAGTGTACTAGTACTAATAAGTAGTAATGAAATAATAGTAATGAAACGAGATAGGTGGCAACGGACAAGGGTTTGATCTCGTGGTATAACAATTTGTAAAAACAACGCACACTTTCAAATCTAGGCATCAGAAATTTACTATTATTATTATTAACATTATGTTTAAGCGAATATACAAACTTTTCTATCGGATTCAACAAAATGTAATTTTTGATTATTTTGTGTGTTATTTAGTCAAGCCAACCTAAGTGGATGTAATGAGGTCTCCAAAATAATGCCCGAAGATAAAAGTGTGCACAATATTACTAACTTATCCCTCCTCAAAATCCGTTTCATAGTTCTAATTTGAACGTAACATTCTTAAAAAAACAACTGATTCACATTAAAGTTGATAAAGTAATGAGGTTTAAAGTTTATTTGTAAGCAGCCCAACTCACAGACAGAAATGATGAAGGTGGGGTGATTATATATACATTAAGCAACAACCAATACACATTAAAGTTCAAAAAAGTTATTGGGATTTAAAGTTTATTTATTAGAATATTTGGAGATCGTGAGATGCGGTCTGGTATGACGTAGGTTTTAGAAAAACATTTTCTTTATCGTGCCAACGTTTCGATCAGGCTCAAAGTGTTTGTTTTCTGCTTAATTGTGCCATTCTTGCGTGTCGTGTTGAGAGTGCCCAAATTGTTTATTTATAAGCAACTCAACTCACTGACTCCGAAAATAGGCGTAAGATACAGCGTACAAAATATTATTAATTTCAATGTAACATCCTGAAGAAACAACCAATTGCACATTAAAGTTCGGTAAATTTAACGAGGTTTGAAGTTTATTTGTAAGCAACCCAACTCACAGACACATCTGCAAGTTAAAAAGTTTTGTATACAGGATTTGTTTCGATATTTGCTAAGACGAGAATGACAATTGAAACGCAGGTTTTCAAGATTCGAAGGCCATGTTGGGTGTCATTTATCGTTCTTACCGATACGAACGCCTAACATTTGAGTCATCGTTGTTGTTGCTCTCAATGCCAATCTCAGTAGAATTGACGATAATTTTTTTCCCTAATAGCTCGGGATGTTCGTTACTTAGTAATTTTTCTATTGGTAGGGGGATAATTTTCCCGTCTTTTTCTGTCGGGACAAAGAATCAATTAATTTTTTCCAAACTACGGTGTTTGTTCTTATTCGTTCATTCCTAATATACCAGTTTGATATTCCATGATAAATAGAAACATGGTTCGTGTCGAATGAACTTTTTCCATTAATATAATCCATTGACAATGACTTACACTTAGAATACATATGTGAACAACATGTACGTAAGGATGAAAAAACGAAATTAGGGTCTTACTATATTTAAATAAACCAAAAACAATGTAAATCACAAAATAAACAGGTATGAAATTTTATTCTATTAAACAGTACTGATTTACCCAAAAGAACGAGCCAGAAGAAAGAAATAGCTTTCTTTAAATGTCCAAATGTCCTAATGTGCACATTAATGTATGTTTGTAAAGTTCTTTAGACTAACAAAAAGTAAATTATTTTGTTTTTTATATAACAAATTATTAATAAATACTGTATGAAATTTGAATTATATTAAACTTTCTTATCATGTTGTTTTTTCTTGTTTTAAGGACCATGTAATTACTACGTTCTAGTTTCCTCTCAAGACATCGAATTTAATGCTTTCTCTTCAAATTTTCTCTGGGTGAATCTTTCCAAATGTTTTCATATCATACAAAAATGCACAATAACATCTTTGAGCTTCTTTTATCAACGCGAACATTGCCTGTTTCACCGAAACGAAAGCAAAAGCTGATAAAAAATGAAAATTTTTAGGGGTTTCTACGTGGGATAGCGTTGGACCTGGGCAGTTTATCTAAGAAAGATGTTTTATTTATTTACCATAGATGAGCGTCACACCGACGGCGATGACAAAAATCGACACACAAACGCGGGAGATCATGATGACTACTGAGAAGGCTGCTGGCCAAAACGGCCTTTATATGTACCTCCTTATGGTTGACGTCATCAAGATCATTGTGGGGCGAAGAACGGTCCGAGGATAGTCAACTGGATTTTCCACCTTTTTTTGTGTTTTACTTTTTAAATTAAATATATCCTATATTAAGAGACATCCCATTAAGAAAAATATAAAGGCCAGCGTTTGAGTTATCTCAATACAGAAAAATCGCAGACTTGGCTTCTGTTGGCTACTATACTAGAAATACAAATACTACCTTACAAATTTTCCAAAACAAGATCAGAGCTTTTTTTTAACGTGTAAATGAAATTCATAAATCTAATTGTAAAATTAAATTAAAACATTTTAAGTGTATTGCAATATTTCCACTTTTACTTATAAATTGATGGGTGGTTAGGGATAATTCAATGTAAGTTTTTAACAAAATGTTGTACAATTTGAATGCCAATATAATACTTAGATGATGATGATGGCTGTAAATTCCGTCCAAATAAATGAAAATAAGAAATGTATTTAATTTTTTATTTTAAAAAAGAAACAAAAATGGAAATGCTTTCTAACATTAACCAACAAAAATAATTTTAGTACGATCATGAAAAAAGCGAGAATAACCTCTATTTCCGATAAATTCAAAATCATTGAGGTAAATTTCAGTAACATTTTCTTTGAAGAAATTGCAAAAATATTTAAAATATTTTTTTTACAATATTTTTTAGCTGGGACTAGTTGTTTATAGGCAGCATATAATTAAAAATATGCTCAAAAATAATTAGTGATATTGCCAATTTTGTTGTATTTACTTTCCCTAGCATTTTTATTTTATTTTTATTATAAATTGCATGAAAATTGATTAGAAATTATTATGGTTTTTACTGAAGGAAAATTTAATTACGGATTTTGAAAAATAAAATAAATTTTAAATCCTTAATTTTGTTTATTGGCACAATAATTTTTTTAAAACAATTAATACGGTGTATAATGTTCTCTGTTAGCTACCTATGTGCACCTGTTAGGCATACTGTTATTTATTATTACCTTATAAATAAGGTTGTAACTAAGTTGATAAGGAATTTCACTCCATAGCTGCTGGAACGCTGCAGGTCAACTGGCTGCGGATGGTGATCGAAAATTCTTCTCTGCAACGCATCCCACAAGTGCTCAATGGTATTGAGGTCTGGAAGCAATGGGGGAAGGGGCAGATGTGAAATTCCCAACGTTTCTAAACATTGATGAACAACTCTGCGTCTATGAGGACTGGCATTGTCATCTAGAAATCGAAAATTCCAGCCAAAGAGATCCCTGGTTTAAGGAATGTATTCCTCGACAATTTCATGGACATAACGGACTGCGGTGAGGCTGCTTTCAACAGTATGGAGTCCAGTTCGTCCTCCACGAACAACAAATCCCATTACAACGCCTTCTCCAAACTGTACTGAAGGGAGCACGAACTGGGGCATTGTACGAATCCCCTGTGTTGGGTAGATTCTTCGGCGCCCCGAATCGAAAAACCCTGCCAGTTAGATCCCTGGTTTGAAGGTTCGCTACACTATATTCTCTAGAGTTACTGGTGGTGGGCTGTTGCTGGAGGTCATCTCAAAGGGGCATAAGATGTAAGGCCAACCATAACCGATTACGAATCGTGACCTCGATGACTCATTCTCACAATAATAGTGCGAACTTCTGGTTCAAGTTTATGTCTTTCCATGGTTAGAGGGAATACAACTGGATTAAAATGTAGAAAAAACGAGAAAAGGTGTTAGTTTACAAAATGAGAAATGAGCAATCTTCATGTTTACTATTGTTAAGTAAATCCGTTATTAAAATCGAGGATTAATATAATTGTTTGTTTTTGGTTTGTATTTTCTATTTTGTGTGGTGATTAGTGACCGATAATCGATAATTATTCAGAAATCATGAATCGCGGTCTGGTGTGATGTAGGTTTCAGAAAAACATTTTCTTTATCGTGCCAACGTTTCGATTTTTATTGAGATCATCTTCAGGGCCTGGAATTAAAAACATTGTTTACATTTAACAAATACATTTAGGATGCGGAAAAGTGAATTTATACAATGCAAAATATATTTTTTATATTCAATCAAAGTATTTCTGCTCACTCAAAGAGTTTGTCTTCTGTGTATTTGTGTCATTCTTGCGTGTCGTGTTGAGAGTGCCAGTGAGAAATTGCTGTTTTATGTTTATATATGTTGGAGTTTGAAGGGGTGGGGAAGGAAGTCGGTACAGAAAAAAGACATTTTTGTGTAAGGCATCGGCATCTTTGAGGTGAAAAGAGCCGACGAGGTGAAACAATGTGTTGGTAATGTTTCGGCCAGATTATCCTTTCAGCATTATGGGGAAGGATGTCTTTTCTATACCTACATCCTACCCCACCCCTTCAAAATCCAACGTATATAAACACAAAATAGCAAAATCTCACTGGCACTCTCGACACGACACGCAAGAATGACACAAATACTCAGAAGACAAACACTTTGAGTGAGTAGAAATACTTTGATTGAATATATAATAAAAAAAATATATTTTGCATTGTATAAATTCACTTTTCCACATCCAAAATGTAAGTGTTATATGTAAACAATGTTTGTAAATCCCAGGCCCTGAAGATGATCTCAATAAAGATCGAAACGATGGCACGATAAAGAAAATGTTTTTCTGAAACCTACATCACACCAGACCGCATCTCACTATTTCTAAATAAATATCGATTAACGGTCACTAATCACCACATATGTTATCTATATTGAATTTGATTAATGATATTGGCGTAGCTGCGACTGAGTTTATATGTATCTGTTCTGTAATTGATGCTGTGTTTAGCTCTGTTGATATAAACCATTTCTAAGAAATTACGTTTATGTTTGTTTTGTTCTGTATGGAATATTTTTGGATTTTTGAAGTCGAAATTGTGTTGGTGTTCAAAATGGTGGGAAGCGAGTGCTGTAGGATTTTGCTTGGGTTTTTTGCAATCATAGATATGTTGCTTTACTCTCTTGTCCAGATATTGGGATGTAAGACCGATGTAAGTTGCCGGACAGTTTAAACAGTTGATCTTGTAGATTACGTCAGATTTATTTGTTATAGGAGGGGGATCTGTAATTTTGGAAAAAAGTTTTTGGATTGTTTTATCGATCGAAACGTTGGCACGATGAAGAAAATGTTTTTCTGAAACCTATATCACACCAGACCGCATCTCACGATTTCTGAATAATTTTCTATTTTGTTTTATCTAACTACCGTTTATTACGTCTATGTATATCGTTTATACATCACGTCGGCACAATAAACAAACTCCTCGTAAATAAAAAGTACGTAAAAACTCTTTTTTCAGACCGTTCCGAAAAGGTAACGGTCTTCTAACACTGCTTGGAATTGGCCACTCTTAGCTCATCCATTTTCCTCCTTGAAAGAACCCCTAAAACTATATGTCCAATCGGTATATTGCATAATAATATATCCTACATCCTTTCTACACCTCGGCTAGAACCCTCCACCAAATCCCCAAAGATCTTCAATCCATACTTAACAACAATTCAACCTCAATAAACAAAATTTTTAACTTCTTAACAGACATCCAACTAATGGATAAAATGTAATTTCATATCCCCTCAATTCTTGTTTCCACTGCTGCCCCATGTTGGTGGTATGGTATGATATATAGCGGGACTCGGTTGAGACGACGCCCGTACGGGACTTCGGGTACTGGCAGGTCTCGGGCTTGACTTAAGGGGTGCTTATTTTTCTCTGAGATGGAGGAATCAATCTTCAGTGAGCATGGAAGAGGTGTCGATGGTGACTTGGCTTAAAGACCTAATAAGCCTTTAAAAAAATCTGATGGCGATGAGTCCTGAAGTATTTAAAGCTTTAATTGGTTTCAGAAATAAATTTGGACCTTATCGTTATGTAATTTCTGTTTTTTCCTGTATGCATTCTTGACGATTGATGAACCTGAAGTTTGACCGTTTACAATAATTTCTATTCTAGTCTTATATCCTCCTTGATGTTTGGCCTGTCCTCCATTGCACCAAATAACTGGGCATAAAGTGTTACAGTCCTTGGCAAGGTTGGTACTGAGTCGATCTTCAAGGAAATTTGAGATCGTCTATGAAAAACTTAAATATGTCAATCTGTAGACATATTTACGATTATTTTACCCTGATGAGACCTTAAAATAGGTCGAAAGCTTGGAAGTAATAACTGACTTTGCTTTTTCTTCCACCATACCACCTTGATCCAGTTCGTGCGTGAAAAAATGGTCGATATTTCTAATACTGAAGACCTGTATAGGATGAGAGCATTTGATTTTTGAAATTTATTCTAGTTTCTAGTAAATTTGAAATAAATTTGTGTAGTCATTGTTTTACTATAAATATGAGCTTTTGATTGAGATATAGTTCACGCCTTCCTTATGGAAACAAGTGCTTCACCATCTAATTAGCTGTATATAATGGGTAATAACCTAAATACAAAAAACCCTTTTCATCGCATATGTTTTTAGTTTGAGAGTAGGTTTTAGTCATTTTTGGCAGGGAAAAAAATGAATTTAGCAATAATTGCGTTCGTCGTTCTGTCGGGAACTTTCGGTTTAGAGTCTATGAACGAAACAGAAGAAATAGTAAGTGAGTATGTGCAATCGGGTGAAAGAAAAAACGATTTATCCACCCTGCTTTCCCAGCATCGGAGCCACCTGTGACGGCGACGGCGACGACGACCGAGTCCGAGTCCTCCAACACGACTACCAGCAAGACGCCTGAGTATGACGAGGAGGAAGAAATCGAGATCCGAAAGAGGGCAATTGACGATGTCTGCCTACAGTGCATATGCGAGGGTGCTTCCGGCTGCAACAGGAAGGCTGACAACTGCTTCGAGAACCTCTGCGGAAGATTCAGGATGACTCGCTTGTTCTGGAGGGACGCCGGGATGCCGACCCTGGACACCGACACGCCGCGAAAGAGAGGCGGTGGGTGCCTTCTACCAAATATTTTCACCGGATCTGAAGATTTTTTTTATTTTTAAGAATTGTTCTAAAGCTATTCCTAACATTTTAATGGGCACAATTGACAGCTTCTTTTAAAAATTGTGCGTGTTCTTGAAGTTTTACAACAAGCTAATCGTTAAGGTATTTGCCGTACCTGCCGTAAAAGGTAGTTTTCATATTACCACAAATTGTGATTCTTCCTTGTGAACAAACGAACTTCGGCATCTTATTTCAGAAGCCATTACAGCGTTAGAGGTGATAAACTCCCATCAACTTCATCATAATCACAAACTTCAACTAGTTTCCAGCTTTCCTCATTTTTATTGATTTTACAAAAGGACACAAGTTTTTACCAGGAGGTAAAAGATGTTTGTTGAATTGTGACTTTGAAAAGCAATACACAAAATATGGTTGTTTGGGCAAGGCATTTCGGGGAATCTCCAGATCAGTGATTTTTTATTTTAATTGACCTGTAAATTAGGTTATAAAAACAATAAAACCCAAGCCACTATCAAGGAAATAAAAGATAAGAATTGCAGAGGGATCTAGATATTTTTAATAGTGTGAAATTTAATTCCATGCATAATGAAAATAAAATCTTCACACCTACAAGCCAAGTTTTCTTTTAGTGTGGCCAATTGGTATCCTAAATTAACTGAAAATATTAAGAAATTAAAATATTTTAAATATAAATTTATAATATTGAAGGCTGGTATTAATTATAATCAGAGAGAGCTTTCCAAGTATCATTTATACAGTTTTAAAGAGATAAACTTTCATTTCAGCTTTTGTCAACTGTGCCCTGGATGTCAACTGCTCTCGTAGAACTGTTATATCATATGTGAACAAATACGCCCGGGTGAGATTGTGGATAAAACGAAATACGCATCGCCTTTTCATCGCAGACCATCATTCCGGGCTACAGTCATTTCCTGTTTCAGGATTGCAATAAGGATGGTCTTATCTCTTGCCTCGACTATGCTGCCATCCACCAGCTGGGACCTGTGGGCTGCCTCCAGGAAAAGCCGATTGACCCGTTCTTCTTCCATGATTTCATCGGGTGCCTCAACAGGCACTTTTACAAAAGCACAGCTCACAAAATTCTGATTGGGTGGAAATTATTTTTCAGCGTGTTTTGGTCTTCGGTATCACTGATAACATGACAAATATATATGTAGCTTTCTTACTCTAAACAATTTAACTAGATTTTATAAGTAGAGATTGACATTGTGAAGTAGGTAAGAGCCACCATAACAAATAAGACACAACTAACAAAACATGCTTATTTATAACCTTAAAGTATTAGTGTTCCTAATAGACAGTTGGAAGAAAAAGAAAGGTTGTGAACTCTCCTTAAGTAATCAATACAAGTTGTAAATATTGTGAATTAACACTAATAAAACAGTCTTATTATCAGTAATATTACAAACAAGCCCCAATTGTCTTAACTAGCTGAATTTACTTAATAATATATTATGTAATATGTGTATAATTATTTTCAAGATTTTTTAAAAACTGTTATTATTATGTTACAACAGTGCCAGATCGCTACAAGCAACTTAGTTGTGATTTACAAATTTTGTATTATAATAATATTAATGTGGAGAAATAATCTATTGATTACAGCACTATTCACTTTTCTCACTAGGGACGGAATCGCAAGGCCAATGGCATTTTATTTGTCTTTGATGATTGCTGGGGAGGGTTCGCGTTGAAAGGTGTTTGACTAGAGGTTTTGGATGAGGTTCAGGGGCTTTAAGAAGGTGTCTGTATCAACTTTTTATCAGTTTTGATGACAAATGGTATTTGGGTGTCTGTCTGGATAGTAAGGTTAGATAGGAAGTAGGGAACTTGGGTAATGGTTAGAAGGATTTTTGATTGAAGCTACTGGATTCATTGAAGGTTGAAATGCTAGATTGAATCCAACAATTCAATTTCATATGTCCAGATTGATTGTTGAGTAGGTTGAGTAGTTTATATCATATGTTCAGCTCTAGTCTTTTGAGTCAAGTTTGGGTTTCCAGGTAAGTCTTTTGTCAATGTAAAATCCTAAATAGTGTATGACATTACTTGCTGGGTAAGTAACAGGTGTTACGACGAAGGCTGAATTTATTTGCTGAGGGTTGGTTTCATTTAGTTTAATCCTCCACTTCCTGAACCATTCTTCCAAACAGGAGATTTGGTCCTGGGTGTTTGTGAAGGCCTGAAGAACTACTGTGTCGGGATTGATAGGAATGTCTGCAGTGTGTAGAGAGTAAAGGATCAGACCGAGGATGCTGTTTTGCGGAACACCCAGTTTGTGTGTTTCAAGACAGACCAGAGAAGTTCATATTATAAACAATTTTAACAGTAATACATATTAATAGTTGAGTCAGGCTCTGAGGCTATCGAAAGCTTGGCTATTTTACTTCTCAATGCATGCAAGCTTAAACACATTATCATTGTGATACCTGAGTTTCACATACTTAGGGAGTGATTGCTGCTTGCATTTACAGTTGTTCAAAAAATAAAGTTTGACCATTGTTTTAATATACAGTAGTGAAATACTTCTTAGTATAATGTAATGATGGCTTTTATTTCAAACTTTACAAATAATATAATACTTTTGAAAGCAAGGATGTGTGAAATTGAAATTTTCCTATTATCAATATTTTCCAAATAAAAAATTTACAAAAGTAAAAGGTAAATGTTCTCTTGGGTTTTATTGATGATTTTCTTGTCTTTAGGACAGCTGAAATACTCACAAAATTATAAAAGCAAAAAATCTATAGTTCTGCCTATTAATTCCAACCTAATAAAAAATGGTTATGTTGGAGTACGTATTCCCATTTCAACATAATGTCACTGTTATGTGCATAAATATAAATTAAAATACAAAAACCTTTAACTTTATAAACCATAAACAGAAATAATTATATATTATGAAATAAAAATTTACCCCATTCTTTTTTATTTATGTTGGTCATAGGTTATAGTGTGTTATAGTGGCATAATCAACAATGTACTAAGGACTATTTGCATATGATAAGATAAGCATTTGAGTTGAGTTTCTAATCCGGAATGCACATAGACAATGTCTACTTACAATGTTTATTTTAAATATTCGGTCTGCACCATTTGCAACTTGTAAGTATTCAGACAAGTTTTGTTGTGTCTTGTAAAAAAGTAGAATCTGTCAGTTTATTTATTTTATTTTATCCTAATTTATTTATGAAATTGAGAGGATTTGTTTTAATACAGCAAACAGATTACAGATAAGAAGCAGCGACCTTCTTAATTTACTGTTTTGTAAATATTTGTCTGCAAGCCCAAAATATTTTATTTCGCTTTTTTTCCGGTTATGCATATTCCTTTACTACAAGCTTTAAAACTTCAAAGTTGCCTGCAATTTGTTTAAAGAAATTAGACAATTCTAATTATACATGTAACATAAGCAAACCAATGGAAATTATAATTAACAAAGAAATCAAAAATATTGGTTCATATAGTTATAAACGTGTAATATTATAGTCAAACTATTATAGTTCCATTGTAAAATATTGATATAAAAAATTAAGGCAAATGAACATGTCAATAAACTAAAATTTAATGATAGTCAGACCAAAATGGTCGGTAATGAACAAATTACAAGTTCATCACCCTCCAGAGCTGAAGAAATCTCACTATAAAAGGTTCTTCTAGAAATGATTTATGTTTTAAACTTGAATGTATGTTGTAATGTAAGTACAAACTGAATCCTTTCCCAAACCATTATGTGTGCTTTGTAAATTAATCTTTATCATAAACCATTGATGAAACTGAAAAAATTAAAAATGGGGCATTTAATGGAACATGATGATATAAGGAAACAAGTTGAATATTCATACACCCTCACTTTTCCTTGTTTGTTATTTTAAATACAATACATTATTATCTTAATTTTTAATAAGGAAGTGACATTATTACAATGTACAAAGAAGAGGAAAAGCTGATTTCACTATCCAACAATAAATAATAATTTTGGAATCTTTTAATTTTCTAGTAACTGTCATCTATCACTTCATAGTGAAATGCATTAAAATATTGGGGATTTTAAAAGTTTATTTATAATTAATCACAATTAGTTATGGTTTTCCCTCCATTACTACTCCAGGTAGCGTAATAATAGGTGGGTTGAGGGAAAAAGAAAACAATCATTTTTTCAGAGCGGGAGAGAGTCTACTACGTATTTTATCTATTATGCACTATTAGTTATATCTATAACACTTCCCTCCTCAAGAGTAAGCACCCCTGGGGGAACATACAGCGATTATCTTATGATTAATTACAATAAGTCAAAATAATCTAAATTGAAATGGATTGTCAATTTACATTTATAAATGTACATATATATTTTTTGGCTTTGGCGGAGTCATCTGCCTCGTGTTTTGAAAATATTAAAATTGATGTTAATACAATGAATAAGATAAACTATAGTTATTATGAAGCTTAATATGTCTTTTTTTAGTTTAATGCTGAAGTCTGGAGTCTGCTCTGGAGAAACATGATGGAGACGTTAATAAGGGTTGGTTTGCCATAGGTGGATTAGAAAATCAGAGTTTTTTCTCAGTAGATGAGTTTCCATCTGGCTGCTTTTATCAGAAGTATACCCCGTAATGTTCTTGATTCTACAGAGTCTTTGCAAAATTTTTTTAGAGTCTCAGGGAAAACGGCCAAAAATTGGTTTATTTCTGTAATGTACGCCAAATGGTTGCTGTCAATTTGGAGAGCTGTATATTTGCAAAGTGTAGTAGATCCTCTCAATTTATTATTTATTTCATTTATTAAGATTTGGATGAGTAGAGATGAATGTTTAGTGACATTGATATACTTTATTTTTAGGACAGATGTTGAGGTAAGTAATTCTTTGAGCTTTGGATTCAGTACTTGGCCAAGTAAAAGCCAAAGTAAGTACTTGGCCTTTGGACCTTTACTTGGTATTGGTAACTTGTAGGATAACTCAAATTCTTGCTCCATACATAATGTTGGCTTGTGAAATATCTGATCCTTTTCTAATAAAAAATTTACTCTTAATATATTTTCAAAATCTAAAACATTCAGAGGCTTTACACATTTTAAATTTTATATTTGTAATTATTATATTTATAATTTCCTAAACTTTAAGTTCTATAAGTAATTCATGACACTCAGTTAATTTCCAAAATGAAACAGTTCACAATGTCTTGTAGAGTATTACAAAGCAACTGATAAAGGATAAGCAACTATCGAGAAGTGTCTTTAATTTCTGTCAATAATGCGTTTCTTCTAATGGTTTTGACCATGAGATTAATTTTTATTTTTAACATTTTTTTCATTAGATTGTAGGGTTTGAATTGTTCCATTAAATCCTTTAATATTGTTATTTATAGAGTTCTTGAATTGTAATTGGTTTTGCTATTTATTTTTAATTTCTTTTTATGTTATTTAAAATTTGTAGGAAATGTTCACCATCTGAGTCATCCTGTTTCCCTGTAATAAGTTTTATTAAGGAACCAAGACTGTTAACAATCCCTCGTCTGTGTCTAGTTTTCGCCTGCGCTAACAAGTTATTTATTCTATCATCAATAATAGTTATCGAATAGGTCATTAACTTAAAGTAGGGTGTAACTTCTTCTTTTATCATATAATTAAATTTGACATATGATGATAGTTTATGGTATTGATTATTTAAAATTTTAAATTTGATAAATGGGAATTTTAAGTCAAAATAAAGGATTAAAGTGCATTAAGAAGTGTGAACCTTTGCTGTACCAAGTTTGATGGGTAATATTCCTCCTGAAAAGAAAATAGGGTGTACACGCTTGTAGCATCGTTAATTAGTGTTCAATTGAATTGGGTTGTGATTTTTGAAATTTGCTATCAGTAAATTCAAAATCTTTTGAACTCTTTGATAGAATTTATATGAGTTTTCATGTAGTTGAGTTACCCTAGAAATTTCGATTTGAAGAATTTCTATGTAGTTATTTTCTGTTACCTCAGCTGCTGAAACTTTTATTTTGTTCCTCAACCAAGGTAGTAAATATACATATTGAAAATTGTTTAGTCAATTGGTTGTAAATGTGCTCATTAACATTTGTGATATTTCGATGAATCTTGTCAAAACATTGTTCCCATTGAACTCTGGAACCATGTCCAAATATTCTTTTTTGAATTCGGGGAGAACCTTTT